GACAAAACTTGCACACCGGGGTCCGGACGGACAGAACCGACACACACACACACACACACACACACACACACACACACACACACACACACACACACACACACACACACACACACACACACACACACACACACACACACACACACACACACACACACACACACACAGACACACAGACACACAGACACACACACAAAGACCAAGACCAACAAAATTCTGTTTACATATTGAAGTGATTCTGATAAAAATGTGTATATAACCCATTGTGTATATAACGCCTTCGCGACTTAGTATGGTCCTCTCCGCAGCGCAGTTGGCGAGTTATTGGCGCGGTACGCCTCTCGAGTCGTCCCGTATCTGAGTCTCTGGCCGTTTAGAAGAGACAGCGTTGGCGCTTGATAGCAGCACCGATGGGGGGTCGCATCAATGCGCAAATCAACGGCAAGGAAGGAGTCCCATTTCTCGGGTTCTGGGCCGTTTTTCCTGCTTTTTTCTTCTTTCGTATACACTGACAATCTGTAACTTAATTCGCAATGGCCTGTGTCTTCATCGTTAAGTCCGTCTTTCAGCGCGACGCACTCAGCTTTGAGCTTGCGATTATGTGGGACCTCTAGCCAGGGCGATGACTACAGCAGTAATAAGCGCTCTATGTGTCTTTAAGTAGGTAAATACCAACTCTGCTAGTCTCTAAATAGTGTGGCACAGATCAAACTTAATGCTCAGTGGCAGTGGTAGTGTTTAACGGAAGGCCATTATACTATTCGACAATCACGTAAACATTAGAACTGGATGAAGCTATGCAAAATATAAAATATCCTGTTCTGCAGCAGTTTTAACCATTACACGGCCGCGGCCGTGATTTCCCTATAGCATCTTTATGGGAGGTAGTGGGCCAAGCGCTAAAGTTGCCTGAAGGTTGACCGCTGTTAGAGTGACATGTCATGCTCTTTTGAAAGTGCACTTGCTATTACATGTATAGGGCTTAAGCACAATTAGAAGCAAGACTAGGTGTGGCGTTGTAGTAGGCGCTGCGATTTTTGCGGCCGGCTAACTCTGAATAGCCAGCATGACGGCCCCACGACCAATTGTCCATAGCATAAAGCGAGCACATGTGGTCGATCAAAAAACACCCATTTGGAAATGATGTGAACTATTGGGAAGCATACAAGCATCCTGCTTGTTCCTAACGTATGTATGGATAGCAGAACATCAAAGGGATACCGCACCATACTTTGTTTGCAGTGTGGATGGTTGAGTATTTTCTTCAGTGAGCGCACCCATCACACCTTGGTTAGCATCGCAAAGGCAATTGTACGAACAATCGGCTTGAGAATTTGAAGAGAGAGTTGCTAACGTCGAAATCAGTGGATGAAACAGCTAAAGGACCATGGACTCAGGCTCAACATCAACAAAACAGAATACATGTGCACAACGGCCACAGAGTCTTCGATCACAGTAGACGGAGCATCCCTACCCAAGACCACCAAGTTTCCGTATCTAGGGTCCACACTGGCCGCGGACGCCGACAGTAAAGCCGATACAATTGCTAGAATAAACGCTGCATGGAACAAATGGAGGACTGTCACTGGCGTTCTCTGTGACAGGAAAATGCCGATCCGCCTGAAGTCTAAAATTTACACCTCAGTCGTGAGACCAGTCGCCATCTATGGAGCGGAAACGAAGCAGATGACGGCTGACGAAACGAGAGCATATGGGTCTATGGAGATGAAGATGTTACGATGGAGTCTGGGACACACGCGATTCGACCACATTCGGAACGAAGACATTCGAGACAAGATCAAGGTCCAACCGATCGTCAATTCCCTTGCCTCCTCTCGCCTACGCTGGTATGGTCACATTTTGCGAAGGCCTCCAGACACCGTGTCCAGATCAGCCGATAGTATTACCTTCACAGGTACACGCCCGAGAGGCAGACCCAAATTACGATGGATGGACAACGTGAAGATCGACATGAATGCTGCTGACCTGTCTGCAGACGATGCATGGAATCGAGATCGCTGGAAAGCCTTGGTGAAAAGAGCGTACCCGACGAAAGTTGGACAACAACGCTAAGAAGAAGTTGCTAACGTCGGAGAAGGCAGCAGTGATGACGGTCGCATTAATGCGGAAATCAAAGGCAAAGTAAGGGTCACATTTCTCGGTTATGGGCCACTCGTGGTTTTTTTTTCTTCATTCCTGTACCACTCCCAGCCTCTACCTTGATCAATAGTCGGCTGCCTCCTCATCGTAAGCTCTGCGAAAGCTCATTCCGAATGGTTATTTTTTCTCTGGTGACAGTTGATTTGTTTCGAACATCAGTTGATCGACGATATAGAAACAAAAAGAGAGTGGAAAGTTCTTCTTCCTTTTTGAACATATTTGATGATGATGATGAGATCTCCTGAGCTGTGCTTTGCTCAACACTCGCCGATTAATCATAAAACTCACTAGGCCATGACAAAAGTCATAGATAGCATATTTGTACCTTAGTACCTTGAACCATGAAAGGCCCAGGTCACTTTGTATTCTAACTATATCTCTACGAGAGCCTTTCTTACGTTGGTGTTAGCACAATTTGTAGTCAGTCTCGACCGGGAGGGGGTGAGGGGTTACGCAAAAGAAGTAAAAACGAAGCTAGCAACAGTTGGGCATATTTGCTGGAGCGCATAGAGAAGTGCACTTCCAGGACAAAACGGAAGCAACAGCGCCATGGCTTGTCAGAAAAGTGGAATAATGCTGCTGAATCACGTGTGACTCCAATGAGCTCTGTTTCTTTCCGCTGATCGTAAGGAATAAACATGACCACTTCGGTATTCAGTGTTTCATAAGCTCACCCAGTCGCGTAAAAATGACATTACAGTCTTGGCACATATCGAGTCACAGTTTAGGGACAGCTCGGATATCATTGTGGGCAGGGATTCTATGGTGAACCTTAACCATTTGGCCAATTATGGGTACACCACTTATTCCCATGTTCTGCAGCGGCCTGGGTAGAACCCGGGACAGCTGTGAGCTATTTTTTTGCCCACCGATTCCACAATCTTGAGTGTGCTGCGAACAGATCATGAGCAGACCATTGATTCGCATTACTTACCGTAATCGGCCTGTGCTAGCATTTTACGGAGCCAAGCTCAGTGGAACTTATTCACTTCTAAACGAGCTCCTACCACAGGGAATCTGTTTTGGAATCTTCATTGAGCGCAATTACAATCCTAAAAATAACATGAATATCAGACAATGTGCAGCCACTTCGAGCAATGCACGTCTTTTGAGCAAATACTCAGATGGTCATTTCTCATTGTCAGAATGTATTTATTTCACACATGCATATGTATTCAGTAGATATGAAATATTTCATATAAAGTTTGAAACAATGAAAATGGCTTTTCTCAGTAACTTCATCTGGTAAACGCAGCATACAGGAGGGGAAGGTATTCTGCCAATCATCACCAGCTTCTCGTTACACAAGATGCCACCGCTGCTGGAAGTGTCGAGCGTTTTCAACATGTTTCTACATAAGAAGAAGCTGCCCTTCGTCCACAGAACATGACGCTTCTGGGATGGATTCATTGTTACTGATTTTTTGTTGACTTTTTCTGCTTGTTGAACAACTTTTATGGTAAAGGGTGGGATAGGAGGTTTTTTGATGAAAGATTTCCGGGGATGGTTAAAACTTCTCCATGCTTTGGCTTGTGAGGAGAGTCGTTTCAGGACTTCGGCCGTTTTGGGAGGGTGGGGAGGCTGCATCTCGAAATTATCCTCGAAGCCTCTTAGAGGTCCTGATTCCGGTCCATTAGACTTTTGTTTGTGGCCTCACTGTAGAGGTACTAAGGAATATCGATTAAAAAAGTGAGATGATTTGAAAGGAGCTGTTTGATCGTTGTTTGTCTGATTTGAAAATTTGGAATGAACAAAAAAATGAGGTTAAACGTTTTCCAAAGCACACGAGATTTTTCGCTTCTTTGTAGTGATTGCACTGTAATATAATAGTAACACTATTCAGAAATTGCTAATGCCGCAATATTCAAAAAAAACTGTCTACATTGCACTTGAATCATTGAGACGGCAGAGGGGGCTCCGAACAAGTATGAAAACATTGTGGAGTTGATGTGAACAGCTTTGAAAAGTTCGGGCCGATCGGCTCAATGGGCCAGCCGAACACCTGCGAGTTTCTCTACTTTGGTCTATCGGTTTCTTTCATAACATCTGTGCTGAGACATGAAAAAATAACTACTCGGAATGGGACGTGTCAATTTAGTTTTAAACGCGTGATTCATCACGAAAGGACATTAAGGTTCGGTCGGTACAATGCACAAACCTCTATGCATAGGTATAATGCGACCAGAAACGCGAAAACAGGGTGTATGACTCACAGTAATTTCACTTGCTTACAGAATTTGTCCTTGCATGAGAAACAGACAGCAGTCAACCTAAATATTCTGACAAACCAGTAGTAGAAATAAGTCAACCTAATTATATTGTTCCCGTGTTTATTGCTCGAGCCATGTGACAATCACAACATTCTTGCTACTGTTATCTGTTCGCTGTAAACGCCATGGGTCCGCATATCCAAAGAGTCTAGCAAGTTTGCTAAACCAGTGAGCTTGCCAGTCGTCAGTGAAATTAGCCAAGGTAATCATTTATTTCTCGGTCAGTCCCAGAGAATCGATTAGTTACTTCAATATCAAGTACACTCGATGTAAGAACGCTATGACGTTATCTGAGCAAGTTCGAGTTCAAAGGCAATAACATGTGTGGTGCATAATAGCGTAGCGGTATGTCTTTTTCGGCGTGTAAATTCAATGAATACAAGCTATCCCACCGAAAAACCGCGCCCAATATCTTTGAAAAGTACGTCTTCTTTTCAACAGTACTTCTACATTGGTGTATGCCCCGTTCCTTAAAATCGTAAGCATGATCAGATATATTGCCTAGAAGTTTGGAAAATCCAGACGGCAAAATCGGCATCTCGACAGCTGCTATTTTTCAATTTAGGTCTTGTCTCACTCTGGGTGTTGGTGTGTCTCCTGCACAGATCCATTGTTTCCGTTGTTTGACGTTAGCATAGAGACACCATTTTCATCTCCTGTGATGATTCTGTGGAGAAATCGGTTCCTGTGGCCATGTGTAGCGCGATGTCGAGCGAGATTTTGCGCTGCGATTCGGAGGCGACTTGCCTTCGTTTCTTCCGTGAGTTCATGAGGTACCCATGATCCAAGTTTCTGAGTGTATTCCATCGAATGAAGATGGCGAAGGATCGTCGCATGATCACAGTCCATCTTTTCAGCCAATTCTCTAGAAATTTGTCGGCCATCCTTCTTAATAAGGTCCCTTAGTTGCTCCTCGTCAAAATCTCTGAAGGGAATCTGAATCCAAACTTGGCAAACCACTTCCGGATGGTTGATTCACCTATAGCATCCTCTCCGTACACACTGCAGATGTCACGAGCGGTTTCAGCAGCTTTCTGGCCTTATGAAAGGCGAAAAATAGGAGGTGTCGAAAGTGCTGATTTTTGCCGCCTGGGTACTGCATTTTCTGTACCCTGTATCCGAACACAGTTCGACTTTTGGAAAAAGCAATCAGGCAGTAATGTAGATCAGAAAAAGCACTTTCAAACGATATGCGCCGTTTCCCGGGTAATTCTCATATTGATTAAATTTTTAGCCTTCAAAAAAAACGCTACGATATTATGCACCAGCCTACTTCATCCCGAGGTAAAACATGGAAACCTTGGATGCAATTCACAGTTGTCCGAGTAAACGCATAGCTGGTGCCAGGTCTATTGTTATTCTTAGTTTATGTATTGGGTTGGAGCATAATATCGTAGCGTTTTTCTTTCGAGCTACAAATTCAGTGAATACAAGTATTACCCAGGAAATCACATATATCATTTGAAAGTACTTCTTCCGCTCTACAATACCTGTTTGTCATTTTCTTCTATATTGTAAGTGTACTCAGATATGGTGCTTAGAAGTTGGAAAATCAAGGTGGGCGAAAATCTATATAGAAAAAAAGCTGCCAAAATAGGAGTTTTTCGGAATCCATCGTCATCATCGAACCTTACTCCAGTCGACCCTTAATTTCAAATCATATTCACGTCGTACAAATTGAGAATAATGAGGATTCTGAAAACGGGCTCAGTACACTTTTTTAATTCCAAATCCAATGAAATCAAATTGAATCCACTAATTTCATTGCGAAATGGAACCAAAGTCGTAAATAATGACGAGAAGAACATCACTGATTAGTTTTATGCTTGGCTTTGCTTTTGGGTTTTGCTTTAAACGTTTTTGCCGAATGCGAGCGCTACGATATTATGCTCCAACCCAATATAACACGTTGACGACAACGCGAGTTTTGGCTTTTTTGGCCACGTGGGACCGCGGCGATTTTGCGGGCGCGCTCGCCTCAGGTCGTTCAAGCAGATTTTGAGTGATAAATACATAAATAATCAATACAAAACCAGATCAGTAAATTGTAATGAGCACAACCTACCAGGGGTACAGTAGTGGAATTTCGATCGAAAGACATGGAATAACAATGAAAAAGCGAAATTTTCAGAACTAGCTGCAATGGACCTCAAAAGCAATTTTACGTTGATTATTTCAATCAAAACACACATATTGTCATCCCTAAGGTTCCGTATCTACTTCTACTACTATTTAAATCTTCACATTCATAAAAAGAAAAAGTAAACGAAAAATTTATTAAACTGAAGATTTCGTATGGTTCAGAAATCCTCCTCTAAATTGAAGCATACGTGACCATTCTATGGGCCACTATGTTTGTAGCTACGTCAAGGTCTCTTCCATGGAATAAATACAAGAAACTTCTAAAAGAATCAGGCGTGCGCGAAAAAAATGAGTGTAATGGGTGCGGGGGATATATATCCCGCACGGTCCGACATGGCCTGCAATGCGCGGGATATACAGGGTGTCCCAAAATTATGAGCACAGAAATTCAAAAGTTCGCTCAGCAAAATAACTCGAATATTTTCACTCATTTGCCGACGATTACTTCTGCAGGAAGGTCTCTTGTAATTCAGTTCATTGGTGGGTGGAAGTCCTACGACCTTTAGGATGGCGGAAGGTCTTTCAGTGCGACCTGCGACCATTCGCATGCACGAGGCAGGTCCCCAACAAAGGACAACGCAAATATTTTGAAGTTCCCACAAGGGCTACACGAAAGATTATCAGACGATACTAGGAAACAATGCCTATCATGCATAGGCCTGCGAGAGGGAGAAAGACCGGCCAATCTGCCGCAAGGGTGACTGAAACATTCCGATCTCGAATTGACCGCAGCCGACGACGCTGCGCTACGAAGAATCCCATGAGAGCTTGAATAAACGAAGTCGCTGGCAGGGTAGGTAGTGAGTGAAAAACGTCATGGCCGTTACTATCCTCTACAGGAGTACCACCTCATCTCCGATACCGACAATATCTCTCTTTCTTTTCTTTTAAAGGAAAGTTTTCCACAGATTGAACGGATCCGCAATAGCCAGAACGATTGCATTCCTGCCAGAAATGCCTAGAGTGCTACTCCACGAAAGATTGTTTGCAGATTATCGAACTCGGCCCCAGTTTTGGTTTGAAGGAACACCACGTCCAGTGGTGAGAGACCGTTAGTTTTTCGTCAATTTCGGTATAAATGTCAACAAACCCGGACACATGAGGTAGGCGTAGTGAAGGGCGCTCCAGCCCACAGAGCCAAGTTGATCCAAGAGTGGTGCCGGTTTCAGCTGCCCGACTTCGCTCACACCGAAGAATGGCCATCATTTTCACCAGGTCCGTATCCACCTCACTTCTCAATGTGGTCATTGAGTGAAAGTGAGGTCTGTCGTTCGTCATCACAGTTTTGAGTAACTGGAAGCAGCACTGAAGGAAGCCTCGGAAGAAATAAACGAGGAGTGTCCTGCGTGCAACGTGTGCGGAACCCAAGAAGCGACTACTGGCTTGCATTGTTGCAGTGAAGGACATTTCGGTATTGGGCTGTTCCATATTATTGTACATGATGTGAGTTAACTTATATATAAATTCAATAGGCATTCTCCGTTTACAAGCTTAAAATATATTGCTGTGAATATGGGTCCATAATTTTGGGACACCCTGTACATATATCCCCAGCGTTGTTGTCAATGTGTTAAGAACATTGTTATTCTCAGTATATGTATAAAAATTATGTTAGCTAAGTGCTAATTTTTTGGGAAGGTGTTGCTCTCTGAATAGCTGCAAAAAATACAACAACTTCTCGCCTTCAATCTTCCAGACCTCGCCTTGGGTACAATAGCGTAGTGGCTGGGATTTTTCACGCATACTCGGTGAACATAACCAAAATTTGACCTCTGCCAAGAAAAATTGTGTGAAAATAAGGTGATCGATGTAGATCAATGATCAATAAAGTAGTTGAACGTCTAATTTCTGTGAAGAACTGTAGATGCTTAGTAGTTCATTTTTCGTAATAAAATGCAAAGACAATGGATGTGACTCAGCGTCCCCATCCTTCGACAAAAATTTATATGCACATTTACCCCGAAAGGGGGGTATCCTCCTTTTGAGAGGCTGCAGAACGACAGAGGTAAGACAGCCAGGTCACGAACACGCGCTGTCAATTATTCTTGGGACCACGTATTAAAGCAACGATCTTAGCGGGATCCATACTTTTGCTACTAATGGGATGAAAAAGAAGCGTGAGCCCTAGCCAGGAACATAAAAAGTGTGGCTGAACAAAATGGTCACCTTGGAAGGCCGCTAGATCGAACCTGGCTGTGTGCTAACGCCATTCTCCCTATTACTCCAAGTTTCTAGCGAAAGAGATCGCGTGATTGGCTGCGTAGTCTTCGCGCGATTGCGATTAAACTGTTCCGCTTTTCAAGGGATGTTGTCTGCTTTTTTTTGGTTTTGCTTGCTCAAATCGTTTACTTATCGTATTTTTTGGTTTCTACTGTATTGGCAAATGCCTATGTTTTTATTGGTGCATATGCGATAGCACCCGCATTGTTTGCTGGCGCGAGCCAGCAATAGGCACGGCGGAGCAAGCTAGTTCGGACAGCTCGTCCGGCCCCACCCCTCTCTTATTCAAAGGAGAACAGGGGAGTCCTTGTTTAAAGCTTCATCAACGGTTTTCTTTGTTTTTTTTAATTTGTAGTCAGCGAGCCATTCACAAATTCATTATCGACCGCTTTTACCCCGCAAATTCGATTTGGAATCGCGAATGGTATGCCCGAGAATAAAAGTGGTGTATGTGGATGCTTCGTAGTGATGACTGAGCTGCGGAATGAACTGAAAGTGGAAAGGAAAGCAAGAGAAATCATTGGAAACGCTAAAATTAAGGCCTTAACCTTCAGTAAGGTCGGATGTGGTACGATGGCGAGACAGGGCGGTCAAAGAAGACAAAACACGCGAGAGATCACGCCGTTCGAGAGAGCACGCTGATCTCTACATCGAGGTGGGTGGGAAGCGTTGCAACGGGGGTCGATGGTTGCAGGCCCGTAAGGATTAGCGCCCTAACCGCGCAATTTTTGCGACGAAGCTGGAGTGATCTAGGTAGGTACGGACCTTACAATTTCCCTCGCGGTATCCTTTCCAAAAGTCGGGCTAATACCAGGGTTTTTTTTTAAGTGTAAGTCAGAAACCGCTTTAGCCCCAGAAAGTTCTCAGATCTTTTCTCTCGAGAAACTGTTGCTGTTGGTGAGAGCTTTCCAGCAGTTAATTTGCGTGGAGTATTGCCAGATGGAGGAGTGTTGAATGGAGCAGTGGCTGTGGCTGCACATTAAGTGGAAGTGTTGTTTGAAGTTCGAGCGGTGATTAATCACTTCGGGAAAGAAGTGAACTCTGGCCAGCCAATATTCAGAAACGTTTCCCTTTGAAAGGTTTTTCTTGTAGTAATTTCACTGCTGCTTGCAGTGATCGTGGAGGCAATGACTGACATATCCTCAACCCGCAATGCGATGAAAAAAAGCACTGCGATTCATAGAGGGATGCGACCGGTTATCGGTCAAATGTTCATTGACCGATGACAACAAATGAAAACGGAAAACGTCCTCTCCAATGAACGGATATGAAAAAAAGAACAGCAAAGAAAGGTGAAGTGCTTTCGTATGACGATAGCCTTGCCCTCTTCAAATTTTTCGAAACAGATGAATAAACGTGTTTCATCTTGGGCTCTACATTAGGGTATGAAGTACGAATGAAACTGGTGATTACTTATAGTCACTGATCACAGCCACTCGCTCAAGAGCGCAAATGGTCCGCGCCTGGCTTTCAGACGGATGCTATCGCAAATTTGATATTAGGACAAATATTTAATAAACGTACAGCATGTCGGTGGTTGCTCGACAGGAAGGATAATTAAGATACTGTAGGTTCTTATTCATCCCTTCAATGAGCTGTCAAATTAAAATGTCCCTCTCAAAATCCTGCGAAAGCTAAATGCGCTGCCTTCCGATACATGTAGAGCATTTGTTATAGCAGCTATGTCGGAAGACCCGATGCATCACCTGCTAATGCTAGTTTATGTTGCATGATTATTCCCTCGTTTAGGGGTATACAGTTTTGAGCATGTGTGGCGGGAGAGAGCTTTGGAAGAATAAAGTGCAGCTGTCAATTGTTTTTAGGCCTCTAAGGATGACAGCTGCTTCGCAACTTTTGAAAGTTATACATTTGTATCATCCATTGAGCCTTGCAACGTGGAGAGGAGTGACAACTATATACAGTCATGCTCTGGTTTGCAGAAGGATCTGACCTTCACTCCGAAGTATGTAGTAATTTCTAAGCAATAAAATCAAAATATAGCGATAGAAACGTAGCATGACAATGAGAGATGAGAGAAGTGATGCGAGAAGTTATACAACTAAGCCATTTCGAAATCAGCTGCGACCCTTTCTGGGCTCAAGATAGACACGAAAAAACATGTTTGGCTATGACAGTGACTTGCGGGACTAGTCATTGTTGAAGCCAGAGGTCTAGCCTCTCAGACAGGTCCTCCGGTAGAGCAATTTAGTGGATGCCGAGCGGGGAGCTTTGTTGGCCCACAGCGGGTCGTTTGTGCGACTGTGCACGCGCTAGGCAACCGTACGCATTTTTTCAAAGGAATCCGAAACCAGAAATGATAGGGTGGAAAGTGATATGGAAGAACGAGTGCAACAGCATAATGGTGACAGATATGTAAACGGCTAGCTGCATTAACTGAAAAATCTGCTTCCATGCAAATGTGTTGCGTCAGAAGCAGCTGATGAAAATTCAAGTAAACAACTGCAAACGGCACAGCAGAACATTTAATAGAAAACATCCCTTATAAACTCCAGCTCTTTTGAAATTGCTTCTTCATTTCTCGCTCGGCATTCTGCATTTTGCGATAATCAAACATTGTGATATGTACATCTTCTTACACACGCAGCAGTGAGCGCGAGAGGCCGGAAAGTAGCCCAGAATGTGTAAATCTTTCGACCAATGTGTTTCAACATGTGCAAAGTTATTACATTTACCTCAGCCTAAACTCAGAGATCCATTTTAATCGTCATACAAATGATGTTTGTTCGCGGCTCGCGTCGTAAGAATGGGCGGGCCAATCCGACATGGATAATATGCGCCCAGCCAATGGGAACCATGTGACCAGTGTGTGCCCTGTGCCAAGTATAGACACCGCACACTTCACCGCTTAACTTTCCGCTCTATTTGCGCTCTCTTCCCTGACCTGCCATCCTTATGCAACGCGCCACACAATTCTAAACAACCTCTTTCAATTAACTGTAGCACTCCTCAACCGCCACGTCTACTAAGGCAGGAGTGTGCAGACAAGCAGGAAATTGGGCGACCGCACAGATTAAAGCATTCTGCCA